GAACTTGAGGCGGTGGCTGAATAAGAGCTTTTTGAAATATTCTAATCCCTGTTCGGGAGATTTCATGGCATTGGGGAAAAAAAATCTACTGAGAGGACATTAAATGCCTTCACAATTACAATAAACTGATGTCCAAATGCCATGGTAATAAAATAAAATGTTCATCTGTTATAATATTTTGTACCACACTGTGGTAATATCTAAATCCCTGAATCCATTGCATTTTGTAAGTGGATCCACAGACCTCACTCATTCCTCTGATAATAATGAATTATCTGAGCAACTTCATCAGATAAAGTCTGTATCTGTCTAGTAGATAGAGCTGCAGCTTGTGGGTAACCAAGACCTCACTGGTTCGAATCCCAGTCCACGCTGAATTTACTGGTTTTAGTTGAGGTTGCATGAAAGGCTAAATTGGCCCCAGCCATCCCTGGGTCTGAGAGAGGAAAAACAGTGAAGGTTCCTGCTCCTGGTCCTTCATCCGCATCCTGTACTGTGTGTGTGTGTGTGTAGCAAAAAGGGGGAAAGGTCAGGCTTAGCTGTCATGGCCTCCACTGGAAGGCAACCAATGATCATGGGGCTATACCTGGCGGCTGGAGCTATGAACAGAGAGGCATACTTCAACGGGGAAAAATTAGAGGAAAATAATTGGACACACTAAATTTACATATTAAAAGATATGGATACCTTGAGCGAGAGGAGAGAGGGAGCAAGTGGAGCTATTTGGGTGGGTTTGTAAGATTTTTTAAAAAATTCATAGATTGGAGATTGCAGTTAATGCTGTATGCAAGTGGAGTAAGAATATTTAAAATCACTCAAGATATTTTGCACCAAAGGATTAAAAAAACGAACATGGCCGTTTAAAAGATTACTTATGCTAAATCCGTCCCATTCTGGGCTAGCATGTATTATTTGTTAAAAGTCATGTATCAGCATGTCTGTAATGGCTGAAGCAGGCAATAAAGACTATAAACCATTTCTTGCATTTGTGGCTTAGACTGCATAATTTAGCCTTGAGCCCCTTTCACTAGCTGATGGAATATCGCAAGACAATTTCAGGACAACATTTTGCACCTTGAAAAAAAATCCCAAATTGATGTTGGACGCTTGAACACATTATATAATTATCTGAATATATTAGAAATGAGTTCATTGATCAAATCATGTAATGTCTAAGCCACAAAAGCATGACATCACATGGCAGTATTCATGTTGCAGTCATAAGTAGTGGACACGCAGTTCATTTAATTTAAACTTGTAATAACCCATTTTGGCAGCAATATTGGGCAATTTTACACATATGAATGGTTTTCCTAATAATTACAGCCTACCAAATGGTGAAAGATTTCAGATATTTCTAGTAAGGAACAATAATTTGAAAACTGACATTTTTCATTCACCGGCTTGTACAGATTGTTCCGTGTGAATGAATTTTAAATGGTTATTGTTTGATAGCCACAAAAACGGGCTACAAATTGAAGCCCTGTATAGTTTAGCATTTGCTTCTTGATGAAGTGGTAGTTTAATTGCCTTGAAATAAGTAAGTGATTTGACTGTTACTGACATTTTTATGTCTTAATGGGCAAAGTCCATTTACAATTATCTTCCAGTGTACAGATAGAGCCAAGCTGATCTTTGTCTAATAGCCTTGTAGATTTGCGAGGAGGGCAGAATGGGCTTGGTACTAAAGGCATAATGCAAATCTTATACCTGTCAGATATAATCTATGGCAGAAGCTGCAGCTTTTTTCCTTAACACACTACCAGATTTTAGTCTGGGGAGCCAGTTTTACCTTAAGCATAGGCCACTGTTAACCTTGTCAAAAATTGCAAGTGCTGCCTGCATTGCTTAAAATCTGCCTTGTAACAGTCGTGTACCTGTGTCACTAGCATGCTCTACCCTCCAGAGCTTTAACCACAAGACTTGATTTAACATCCTTTCATATCGTGTTTGACCTACCCTAGAGAAGGCTCTTTAGTCAAGCTCAGAAGTGAATGATTCCAAAACTCCCGGGAGTCAAAAAGCCAACTGACCATAAAACATTATAAAGAATGAAAAGCTTCCTTGGAACTGAAAGTCACTGGCCAGTGGTGGGTGTTGAGATGAATCACCGAGCGAGGTGGAAAAGTAATAGGTATTAGGAAGGTTACTGAAAGCACAATTGGAAGAAGCCGATTTTTAGGAAAGTTTTGAAATTGGAGAGAGGATGTGAAACAGAGGGATTTGAGGAAGTGTTCCAGAGAGCGTGGATGTAGTGGTTATAAGATCAGAACCTAATTGCGTGTAGTGAGGTTGAGGGACATGCAGCAGGTCCAAGCTTCCAGAGGGAATGGGCAGAAGGGTAGGGCTGGAGGAGGTTTGCAGAGGGAGAGTGGGATAGGTTTAAGTGCTCTGAGATGCTACCTTGTGTGAAGGGTGCTATATAAATGCACAATTTTGTTATTGTTGGCAAGGATGCAGAGGTATTTGAATTCGAAAGAGGTTGATGAAATCAAGCTGTAGAGTATATGGAGTCTCTGGAGCCTGATGAAGGTGAGAATTATGGGTACATAGAGCCTAGTGCATGAGTGGATATGAGCTGTGGAGTCCTGGATCATGTGGTGGCTAGAAATCTGGCCAGGCAAACATTGAGGAATTAATACATTACAATAAAAAATTAGATTTGTAAAGTGCCTTTCATGTAGGGAGGACATCCCAAGGTGCTGAAAATTCAGGGATTAGGGATTAGGACCAAAGTGGGGGATGTTGGGATCAGGGAGGGTGGAGGGCAGAAAGGGTAGGAGGGTGGCTGAAGGCATGGTCGAAGAGAAAGGTCTTGAGGCATGCCTTGAAGGAGCAAAGGGAGGGAGTGAGACAAAGAGAATGTGGGATGGAGTTCCAGAGGGTGGGGGCAGAGAGGCTGAAGGACCTACCATCGATGGAGAGGTGGGCTGGGCAGGGACATGGAGCAGGTTGGAGCCTGCTGAGCAGAGGGAGTGGACAGGTTGATAAGGGGTTAGCAGATCAGATAGGTAGGAGGGGGCAAGACCATGGAGATCTTGAGGTAAGGACGAGGATTTTGAACTCGATCCTCTGAAGGATGGGGACCCAGTGGAGTCAGGCGAGGGTAGAGGGGATGGGGTCAAGGAGCCTGGTTCAGGAGAGGACACAAGCTGCAGAGTTCTGGATGATCTGCAGCTTGTGGAGGGAAGAGTTGGGAAGGCCGACAAGCATTGTCGAGCCTGATTGTAATGAAGGCATGTATGAGGGTTTCTGCAGCCTGAGGAGTGAGGCAGTGGCGGAGTTGGGCAATGTTGCGGAGGTGGTGAAAAGCAGAGCAGATCATGGCACGGATGTGGGGGAGAAAGGACAGTTGAGGGTCGAACAAGACGCCTAGGTTCTGGACTGACTCAGTGAGGTGGAGTGTGCATCCTTGGATGTTGATGCTGCCAGTTCCTGAGGTGCAGAGGCGCTGGCGCGAGCCAATCAGGAGAGCCTCGATATTGCTGATGTTCAACTGTAAAAAGTTAGCTCTCATCCAAGACTTGATGTCTGACAGACATTCTGTCAGGACAGCAGTGGTCCTGGACTAGAAAGTGGAAGCAGAAATAGAGTTGGTTGTCATCCGTGTACACACTTAATACATAATTGTGGGTACTTTTTCACATCAAGCTGGATTTTTAGCAGATGTAAAGTCTTGGTTTGCTGTTACCCTTCTATTGATGTTCTGTTAATGTTAAGTACCATTATGTTGAGTTTGTTAATGTGTGTCATAATCCAGGCATTAATGCACCAAAACCATTCACAAATGGTCAGGCAATGGTATGGATTATTACCCGTGAAAACAATCCGCCAATTGACTAACAACTGTTTTACTGCTAGGTAAACAAAGACGTGTAGAGTAAGGAAACTTGCCTAAGATTTCATGCCGCCTGGGAATCGAACCTGAACCCTCTCGCTTGCGAGGCAAGTGGACTAACCACTACGCTGCAGGACTCAATAATAATATCAACTTATAACATAATATTACTATATAATAATGCTCAACTTTATAATGCTTCTACTTGTATATTTTACAGTTTAGTAGATTAACAGTTAACAATGAGAAGTCTTGGTATATTACGTTTAGTTTATGAGTCAGGAAACCTTAATGAGTTACAGTTCACCACTGAACCTTGCAGAGGTATGCAGAGTTGGCTGCAGATCATTTATCACAGGTTATTATAAAAAGCAGAAGCACTGAAAAAAGAACATTGAATAATATGATAAAGGCACTGTTGCAGTAAATGTTATAATTCAAAATTTTAGCAAAAGGNTTTTTTTAGTCAGCCAGGTGTCTTGACACATGCAGAAACCCATCACCATCCTTAAGAGTTTACAAACCAAACTGAGAATTTCATGCATTGCATCTACACATTCTAGGGATAAATTGTTGGAATGGAATGCTCACTCTCTCCCTGGATTGATGCATCTTGCTTACCTAATTCCGGAAAATATTAGGTCAGGTTGGCAAGAGTCTAGTCTTGGGGACCCCAGAGTGTAAGTTGGGGTACTGCTGGAGTCTAACCAGCTAAAACTGCATAGTTTGCCATTGTTATGATAGTTATGATAGTTCAAGATCCTGGTCTTTAAGTTCAAAGCTCTCCATGAGCTTCCCTCCTACCCCTGTGACCGCCTAACCCCCTACCATCCGGGTACCAAAATGTAATTTTGTTGTTGTTGTGGTTATCACTATCCGGCAAGCTCTCCTGCTTCTTGTCCAGCTCGGACCATCGACCTGTTAAGGCTTTGGTTTTTAGGGTTAACAGAGGATTCCCTGCCCCGGTGATTTGTCTCCACTTCCAAGTCCTGCTGACGAGCCAGGTTGGCTGTGCTGTCATCAGCAGTGCCCTGGAATGCTGAGGACCTGGCTGGCCCAATAATTTTTTTTGAAAGAATTGTTATCCCCAGAAAAGCGATCTGCCAACAACCGGGTTATTACTTACTGCTTGGTAAACAGGCGTGTAGTGTAAGGAAACATTTGGTCCTGCCGGGAATCGAACCCAGGTCTCTCGCTTTCGAGGAGAGTGCTCTAACCACTGAGCTACGGGACTCCAGCTACAGAGGGTTACCTTTGCAATAAAGCATAATGCAGTGAGTGTGCTGCCATGAAGCAGATGCTACTTACAAAGCTGACAAATAAGGAAATAGAACACACAAGATACATCATAAAAAGATAATCCAAAAAGGAGAACATGACCAATTGAATTATGATCACTCCAAGTGCTCACAAGCATTCAACACTCAACATATTATCAGCAGTGAGAAAAGCACCATTATACAAAACTACTACCCTGTTTGTCTTCTTTTCAAACTAATAATTTGTACCATTATTTTAGATTATCACTGACTCATATAATTAGGGAGGCTGAATAATTTCCAGAAATGTTCAGAATTTTTAAACTGTCCAGACAAGGATAAACATTCCTAGTTACCTTATCAAATGCAATGTTTATATGGCTTGCTTTTTAGTTTGTTCAATCTGACACCAATGTTCAGGTGCTCCACACTGGATCTTTCTGAATACAATTCAGTTGTTTGCCACTACAGCCACGTACAGGAAAAGAATGAGGTAATGCAGGAGGCTTGAAATTCAATCTCCGATTCTGGTAACATTCCTTCACTGTTTGGACTTTGGGGTTATGACTTTATTGCAGCTCGGGACCTGGTTGACAACCTTCCCAGTGCCTCTCTAGTACAGATTCTCTCATTCTCTTTATAATAATAAGCCAATCTCACTGTGTTTGAACATTTTCACCTGTGCACTGCATTGATGTGCTGGAAGTGAGCTTGAGGACTAGTTTGGCTTTCTTCTGAATTTACAACCAGATTCCAAAATGTTTCTAAGGCTCAGCAAATCAAACCCCAAGAGATTTGCTCAACATACATGATCGCTGAGGTGTCAGCTAGTTTATGCTTACACTTAGGATAAAGAAGATGATTAAAGCAGCTTTTGGAAGTGTAGACATTTGTACTAACGGATCTTCTGCGCCAATTTCTTGTACACATATCCCTAATACATATTCTTCTACCTCTTTTGTTTCATGGGACAATGACGTGATATGTCACTGAACTGTCAGCTCCAGCAGTGCAGTGCTCTGAAGCTGACAGTGCCAAATAATTTCCTTTGGTAAACATAACAATCAAGCGGCACCAACAAATATGAGGTTTCCTTCTAACCTTTCCTTCTAACTGAAGAATAACTCTGTTGCTATAATTTCTTCTTTATATTGAGGGCTTCTTCCATTGTTCTTTCTTGCTTAATAAGTAATCTCTGTTTTCTCTTTAGCTTTTCTTTAGTTGCGTAGATCGAGGTATTTGCTAGCTGATCTTCAGAGGGAGTTAACAATAATAATAATCTTTGCATTTGATATAGCTTCTTATCACATCATTGAGCCGTCTCAGAGCACTTCAAAGGACATATTGAAAAGTGGATTGACTGTATATTTTGTGGACGAAATACAATCTAAACATTTCCAAGCATCATTTCCAATCAATCTTGGCTTTCTATACAGTTAGGAACACCAATCTGTGAAGCCTGTACAAAGGAAACTTCTTGTTAATATTTTATTTTCTATTATTTCTGCCTTCTAATCTATCCTCTGCTGAAAGCATTGAGCTACTGACAGCATGTGCTACATATCACATCCAACGCCAATATTGGTATTGCTTCTTCCAAACAAAATCCTCAGGTTAGAAAAATACTAACATAAGACTGGAACCCAGTGTCCAGCCTGGATTATTATCACAGATGTCCGACATCAGAGGCCTGAAATTCCACCTGGTGTTAGCCTGTCAGACAATTTGAACTTAACATTTATGATCGTGTGGAATGGTGGAAAATTCTCAAATTCAATTTTAATTATTCATCTATGGAGAGAGGAAAGTGAGTTAATGTTTCAGGTCGATGACCTTTGGTCAGTTTCCTGTTTTTATTTCAGATTTCCAGGATCTGCAGTATTTTGACAAACACTTCGGAATGCTACACTGTGTGAAGGGCACTATATAAATGCAAGTTAATATTTTGGTTTTGTTAATTCATTTGGAAGCTGGTTTGTCACAGTTCTTAAAAAGTACCAGCTTTTATCACAGTATTGCTTAAATTTTAAGATAAAATAGTCTTGCAGGCTAAGACTGTTGTTTCATTGTCTCCCCAAAGTTTTGAAGCAGTCTGTTGACTAAGGCCTTCTCTCATCTTCCTCTTCTAAAGGCTGTAATTTAGTGGAAGGTTTGTAATGAAACCATAAACCATGAGGAGGAAGCTTGAATAGTTCAAAACTGTCACCAGAACCAAACGATTGAATTAAAGGTTTGCCTCCTATCCAAGTATTTATTATAAGCCAGTTCTGCTGCAGGGTTTCAGCTGATCAATGTATAAATTATGTAGATTCAATGCAAAATCTAGAATACAACTTCCATTGTACACTAGCAATCTCAGATCAGTCCCATTTAAGAGAAACGATGTGAGACTGTTGATATTAAAATTTAAAAGGGTTCCAGGCGACTGCTGAAACTACCTTTACATTTTTAATGTTAGTAAAGAACAGTCTGCTTTTTACTGCGATGAAAAATTTCACCTGCATTTGGATGCTCATTAGTGGAGCACTGGGAATCCATGTAAAGATACAACCACAGAACTTTGAGTGAAAGCAAAGTAGTTCAAAGTCATCAGTACAACATGGGGTGCAAAAGAATACAGAATTTTTTTTAGGGGTTATTTCCTCTTGATAAGTACATTTACCAAATGTTGCACTTTCTGCTCAGAAAAGCACATTTTCAGTGAACATTTCCTTAAAGAACATGGATTTATATGCTATCAGTCCTCAACTCTCTTTCGGGCAGTTAGTTTTAATATACTATTAGTATATTAAAACTAACATTTTTAACTAAAAAATGTGTTCAGCAAAGCAATGATTGTTAATTCAAGTCGTTTCAAAAAGCTGAGTGCAGAATAAAGGTAATAATAATATTCCTTGTTTTTGATGTAGGAGGGCCTTATCACGTCGGCGAGAAGTCTCAACAACAATAACTTGCATTTATTTAGAGTCCTTCACATGGGTTAATGTCTCAGAGTGTTTCACAGGATTTACTGGAAAGTGTAGTGGCTATGTATGAACATAAATGATATGTGCACCTTGGTATGCCTGTGATGACTTCTGTCGCCTGCTTAAACTGCACTGGACTAACCTGAAGTAAGTTTGCAACATTTCAAAATGTGGATTGCCACTGAGCCTACCATTTTCTGCCTGATAGTTCTATAGAGACATTTTCCAATGAATACTGATATTTATACAATGAAATCACTACTATGACATATGGACTATATGCAGGTAGAATGTGTTGAGGTAATAAATCGCACCTGATCATCTGGTAGTCATGGAAATCTATGAAGGGTTTTATCCTTATTGCCCAGTGAGTTTGTTCTGCTCACCCTGCTTGATCAGTTGTTGAAAGAATTATCACATTGTCTGGAATGAAAACTACGATGAGTGATGGACAAAATAAATTATTTCCTTTTTCTGTTTTGGAATTGAAGAGCTTTAAGTGTTAATGGAAAATAGAAATGTGAGATTTTTTCCAAGAATTGCAAAATCTATTGACTCATAACTTTATTTTTAGATTTTTTTGGTCAGCCGGTGGCTAACACATGCGGAAACCCATCACCTAGGCCAATAGAGAAGGGCGGAAATATTTGCCAAAAATTGCGGGGGAAATTGATAAATTTCGTGGAAAATTGCGGAGGTTTGATTGGTACTTCGCTTCACTTGAAAGCCCCGCTGTTGAGATTGTCTGTGCGTGTCTCTCTCTCAATGTGTTTTTGAGACACGCACAGACACAGAGAGAGAGATACACACTCAAACACAGAGAGACACACATTCTCACAGAGAGAGAGAGACACTCAGAGACACAGAGAGACACACACACTCACACACAGACACAGAGAGAGAAACACACACTCAAACACAGAGAGACACACATTCTCACACAGAGAGAGAGACGCACCCACTCAGTGACACAGAGAGACACACACACACACAGAAAGACACACACAGACGCAGAGAGAGACAAACATTCTCAGAGTCTCATACATTCTCACTCCTAGACACAAAGAGGAATACAAACACAGACAGAGGAGAGAGAGACAAACATACACATTCACACAGAGACACTCACAAACACAAACATACATAGGAGGGAGACACACTCAAATAGAGACTCACCAAGCACACACACATCTAGAGAGAAAGAGACACACAGACACATTCACACAGACACTCACAAACATACACAGAGGAGAGAGATACACAGTGGAGCGAAGCCCATTTCCTGGTTGTGCCACACCTCACTTGTGTGTCCGGAGCCGCTCCGCCGACAGTGACGTCAGGCAAACAGGCAGCAGTCGTGCGAGAGGCCCGGGGCAGAAACCACATTTTATAGCGGATGGTATTGCTTATAACGGATTCCGTGGAAGAATTGCAGCTGCACTTTTCTATTGGCACATATCCTGCTTACCTAATCAATCCCAGAAAGTATTAGGCGCAGGTTGGACCCCAGAATGTGCATTGGGGTACTGCTGGAGTTAAATCAGCTAAAACCGCATAGCTTGCCATTGATATCGCTGTCTGGTAGTGGAGAGAACAGAGAGCACAAATGCTAAGTTAGCATCTACAACAACAACAACAACAACAACAACAACAACAAGATTCCATTTATAGAGCGCCTTTCACGTCAGGAGGACGTCCCAAGGCGCTGCACAGTTGGGTCATGACCCGAGCAGGGGGGAAATGGTCAGGGTGAGGGGAGGGAAGGGAGGGAGAGAGGAGGGGGAAATGGTCAGGGGGAGGGGAGGGAAGGGAGGGAGCGAGGAGGAGGAAGAGAGTCGAGAGGGGAGCTGAAGGCACGGTCAAAGAGAAAGGTTTTGAGACCGGCCTTGAAGGAGGAAAGGGAGGAAGCAAGGCGAAGGCACTGGGGGATGGAGTTCCAGAGCCTGGGGCTGAGAGGCTGAAGGCCCGACCACCGATAGTAGGGCGGTTGGGGCGGGGGACGTGGAGCA